ATCTTCGCCGGTGAAAGGAAGACCTTGGGGCAGCGCCTGGTCAAAGACTAAGCCCAGGTACTCCAAACGATGAGAGGATTGCTACAGTGACTTCTGGAGATTCACTATGGGGATCCCTTGAGACCTAAGCAGAGCCAAAACAGGGGCAAGCACCTTAGTGAAGACCCAAGGTGTAATGAGCAGGCTGAATGGAATTGTGACAAAATGGTAGTGTTGCGTGTGCACAGCAAAACTTGGGTAGTGCTTATAAGTATGAAAAATATGGATATGCAAGTATGCATGTTTGAAGTCCACAGAGGCCAGTAAATTGCATGGGTAAATGGAGGAAGTAACTGATAGGATATACTCTATTTGGAACTTTTGGAATCTGCAGGATCCCACTGAGAATCTTCATATCAAGAACAGAGTGAACCTTCCCCCTTTGCTTTGGGGAGCAGAATTAACCCATCGATCCCCTCCCCGTTCTATGGGACCGGGAGCGATGCAGATTGCACTTCAATAGCTTATTTCCAGTGTAAAGGTGACACGGGGGGTCTTTTGGACCCCCAGCATCACCTTAAAGAGTACCTGTCACCACCATCTGCTATCACATGGGGGGGCTTGTAAGCCCCCCCCCCATGTGATAGCAGTCAAAGTAAAAAAACAAAACGTTTTTTAAAATAAAATAAATCTAATAATAATAAAAAAATGTAAAAGTCCCCCACGAGCACGCGCGTCGCCACGTAAACACGCGTCGGGTGCGCCTACGTATGAAAACGACGAACGCGCTACACATGTTGGGTATCACCGCGCATGCCGGAGTGAGAGCAATAATTCTAGGGCCAGTATTTGGGGTATCTCTAAATTGATTACCTCTGGGGGTTTTTAAAGCGTCTTCTATGGACTTTTTGGGGTACTGCAGTTTTTTGCCGTTTCACGGACGCACAGAATTTGTAACCTGGGCATGTTGGGTATCGTTTTACTCGTTGTAACCTCATCTTTTATATTTCTTTAAAAAAATGGGTATTTTGTTGTGTTTTGGAGCTTTTAATTAAATTTTTCACTAAATGTTGGGGTTTAATAAGGAGTTGCGCTAATATTGTGCAACATAAAAATTTGCAACTACCACCATTTTATTCTATAGGGTCTTGGCATTCAGAAAATATATAATGTTTGGGGGTTTTAAGTCATTTTCAGGCCTAAAATGTGTAATATAACATGGGTGCAAAAAAAAACAAAACGGCCTCAGTCATGAATCGGTTAAGACAGACATCTTGAATAAAGTAAGTTTTCAAATAAGTAAATATATTTATTGAAAAATCATTTAATTTATATTTACTTAGTGTTTTTTTAATGACATTACCTCATAATCTGAGGTGTTCATTATTTTTAATGTAACATACCTGGTAGCCATTTAGATCAGAGAAAAACTTATTTTGGCTGTTTATGTCTGAGGATATTCTCATCACAATTTCACGATTTGATTCACCTCGGATGTCCACAATATTCGTTATTTCTGGAGACTGGCCTTCAAATCCTGAAAAAAATAAAAATATATCTTGATGGTAACCCAACGATATAATGAAGATTCAAGTTATGTACATTACCCCCATATTTACCCCTATTTTCAACTCTAATTCTGGCCCTAATCACGTAGATTTGCTCTCCATTCTCCAAGTCAAGCATCAGAGATCAGTAGTGGGTAACTGGTTAGATTTTGAAGACCTCAAAATGTGGCCCCAGATGCTTTTAGCCAATGTTTAATGCTGATAAAAGGCATCACCAGGTAAATGTAGACCCTAAAAAAAGGTGCAGAACATAAGGAGCCCCAGTATTTACCACCACACTCTGCAAGGGTTGATGGATGTTGCTGCACAATGGCTCCCAGTTTTTGGCCCTCAGATGCACCCATATTGACAAAAGCTGAAACAAACAAGACAAAGTACAAAATCGAGAGACAAGGTTGTGTTCAAAAACAAGCAAGAGGGCAGTGAGGCGGCACACATGAAATTGAACAGATATGTGAAGGGTTGGGGCAGGTAGTAGACATCAAGCCCTGTCGTTCTACCTCTTGAGCCTTTTTTCTGCACCAAGGCCCACTATCAAAGATTTCTAAAACGGAAAGAATACCAAGGCAGCTTGGTTGACTCAAGGATAACATCAGTGGTCTTATGCTTTAAAATTTCCAACAGATATGCGTCACTCAGAACACTTTGCATTTCAACTGCTAGTTATGAATTGATGGTCCTGGGAAGTACCACTCAATGGCCCCATAGCTCCAAAAGTTTCAGAGAATACCTCAGAAATACTATGAGGGCCTTTCTCTGCTCTATTTAGGCTATACCGATCAGCTTGCTTTTGATATCAGTTAGAGACATTTCTGAGATCTTTCAGAATTCATTACAGATTCACCTGACCTGCAGTTGACCTTTTTTTGAACTTCAAGCTGCTTTTGTATTGCCATAAGTGTGTTTGGGGAGAGAAGCAATTCTGATGCAAAAAGCCTGTTGACAATGACTCTAAAGTCAGCTACTGATGCCGGCAACATACCAGGTTCCAGGGGATGAATAATTATGTTCCTCTTACACAACTAAAGATTATAAAGGGATTTTCTCTAAGCTTTTTCACATTCTCTTAAGTTATTTTATTGCCAAGTTGCCAGCATAACAATTTTAAAGTTTGACTTCATCTACAAAGAGGCACATAACCAAGTTAACGCATATTAGGCATGCATTTAAATGGGTGATGTTGAAATTTGCAGTGAGCATTCTTTTACTTCTCTTCTAATACATGTTTAAGTCTAAAACTGCACTATACACAGTCAAATTTTGATCAGTTCTACAAAACAGAAGATACTAATAGATGCATTATTCCTGTCCAATCCAGCTGTTTTTAGAAGCAGTGTGTGCAGTTTTATTTCCACAGAGATTGAACGTCACTGACCAAAAGTAGTCAGAGAAAATGCAGTTTGAAAAAATAGAAAACTCCTTAGTTATGGATACTAGGATAAGCTGAGAAGTTCATATAAATGCTGCAGTCAGCAGACATCTACAGAGTCTGCATTGCATGCATGTCCAACTCTTCTGATGTCTTAGGCATCTTACAGTACTAAAGTAGCATTACATGTATGCTAACAGGGATGTAAAAAAGTATGCACTGTATAGCCAAAGTTGTTTTTTTGTGTCAGATAGCTTAGTAAAGGGTTAAAACATGCACATTTATCAGTGGTTCCACTAGGGAAATTTCTTTTCACTTCCTATTCAGGAGATGTAGCAGAAAGTGAGAGGAAATCTCTACAAAAAGTCAGGGGAATTTACCAATTAGAGGAAAAGGTGTCTCCACTGGCCGATTTAAAATGTACCTCTTCTACTGATCACTCAAAATTTTGGGATTTCCCATGACTTTTTTTTTTCCCCAGAGACAATGGCCTGCAGTACAAATAGATGGGTGAATCTACCCAATGAGGACACAGACCGTAATAAAAACGTGATAGATTGGCTATATATACCTACAGTATATAGCACAGCATTGTGTAGAAGTGAGCTTTTATATAAGTGCTGTATACAAGATTTTTTTTAAGGAACCTATAATAGTTTGTCAATTTTACTTTTAACATTTACAGGCTGATAAAATTATATATTTTTTAAAATAATTGTATATCATCTTTATTTTACAAATTAAATACAGAATGCGGAGATGATACCAAATTTGCAGAGTATTTTTGTCTCAGAATAGAAAGCCTAGCACTGGCTTCTTCCTTTGAGTCATTCAGACGTGTTTAATTCACTTCCTGCTAGCAACACCTGTTCACCACACACGTTATTACAGCAAAGCAGGAAATTCAGCTCAGTGGAAAAAAGGAAAGGGGTGGACAATTGCAGTATGTACAATTTGTAAATATGTTCACTATTTCATATTTACCCAATCCCAAAATGAAAATATATTTGAAAAAATTATGGATATAATACCATGCATTTATTCTATTTAAGCAATACACAGACAATGTATACACCAATGTGAATGAATGTGAGTGATCATGCCACAAGTACATGTTCAAATCAAATCAAAGAATGTTAAGAATATAAAGTGCTTCTGGGTTCTTTCAGGTGCATTTTAAAAACTGAGTGCAAGTTTTTCCTGTAGACAAGAGGCCAAAATGAAAACTACATGAGCCCACTGGAGCTTAGAGATCTAGTGAAATCTATACAGGAACCATAGGTTTCCTTCGGTGGGAACACTTATTCTGGAGAGAAGTGCTAAAGATGAGATTTCTCCTATACTTTGAGGAAACTTTCTCACATATTTTTCTGTAACTATGGTGCAGGAAGTGAGGAAAATATCACCCCACAAAAGGACATAATAAAACATGACAGAGGTTCAAACCCATCTCCACTTTATTTTAGACCAGGCTAAAAACTTTTGGCTTGGAGTTGCATTTTAATGTATAGCTAGCAAGATGTAAAAACAAAAAAATTTCACATGCATTACACATATAGAAGAAAAAATAAACTCCAATTATTCAGGGCAAAGTGACAGGTTACTTTGATGGTGCACCCCCATCCACTTATATGCGCCTAAGCCATGCTCCTATATTCATTTGTTGGAGCCCTTGGAAATAACTGGTATTTTGAGGTATGGGGAGCATGCAACCTTCTCCCCTTCATCCCAGTAGGCAGTGCTCGGGTTTGAGTAGCCTTTTACCAAGCACAACCACTGCAACCAACAGAAGGGGAGAAGGCAATTAACCTTGTGTTAGGCTCCATTCACACATGAGCGGTTTTCCTGGAGTATTCGCGCAAGCGGAAATGCACTAAACATAAAAAACAATGCATAGCAATGTGCATTGTTCAGACTATTGCAGCGGCCGCACGGTACGAAACCTCGCGTCCCTCAAAATATTCCAAGCACGATTTTATGGACGGATTCTGCACATTCCAGCTATAGTAATAGCCGCACGTATGTTACCGTTTGCGTGGCTTCAGTTCGCTGTGTGCGAATGGAGCCCAAGGGCCAACATCGATTAGGGAAGGTAAGTATGAGGATGGGTGCCCTATCAAGAGAACTTCTCACTTTTCCCTGAATTTCACCCAGCAGGTCCCCGAGACAATTAAAAGTAAAAGATAACACAAGAAAATAAATATAATATATGCAGGTACTGTAATTTCACATAACCTCATAGTAGCTGGAACACATGCTCACCCTGAACGTTGTAAAGTCGTACTGAGTGCGTTATGTGGTTGAAGAAACAAACAACTTCACTGAAAATACTTCCATGAGTGACTCTTATAATTGGTGGGTCAGAAACATATGGCTGAAAGAGAATTAAAAAAATATAAATTAAAAACCTGATACACTTTGGTTGCTATTAACATACATACAAGAGAAGTCTTGCTGTAGTTTATTTAAGATACCCTAGTTCTAGTTAACGTCTCAACACAAATATGAAGCAATATGTACAGTATTTTCCGCAAGTACACACTTTAGGTTTCTCTCGAAGGTAATCTGTCAAACTGGGTAACTAATACTTTTCCTGAGTGGCCTGCTGAGTTAAAACAGGGTAAAGGGAGGCCAGCAGTTAGGAAGTCATTCATATCCTTTTTCCATTCAAACAAACATTCTGCTGAGCAAAATGTCCCAGTTCATGGACCTGTGGGCCTATCCCACTACCTGAGGGAGGTCAAGTTGTCCATGCAGGACCAATGCCTGTCATAGGCTGAGTACTAAAATTATATATATATAT